TAGGGATGCAACCCGGGCTGCCCCCTCTGTGGGATCTTCTGCGAACACGCAAAATGTGGACCTGGCAACCGCGCTAAGGTCCTTACAGCAGATCATAGGTCCTCTGATTAGCGCAACACAGGCTTTGCAGGCGATCTTTCCTGCAAATGGCTAGGTACAATCGACGACAGCCTGCATTTATCAAAATTCTTTTTTGGAATTGTTTGGGTCTAAGGGACATTCCCAAAAGACGGGAATTTCATCAAGCTCTTGTGGACGAAAGTATAGATGTGGCCTTGCTGCAGGTAACATTACTTAATCCGGGAGATCGTCTAGCTTTTCCGAATTACGATGTTATCCGGGCTGATAGATTGACTGGACGGGGTGGCGGCTTGGCAGTGCTAGTGAAACGCGGTATTGACTACCACAGAAGCACAAACGCTGACATGCAGAGCATCGAAGCGGCTTCCGTGGTGGTCAATATGGCGGGAGGTGTGCCGTTAAAAATCACATCGGTGTATGTCAGGTGTGGTAACAGGCTGCAAGAAGCGGATCTGGAAGTCCTTTTAGACTACTCGGGTCCACTTATTGTGGCAGGGGACTTCAACTGCAAACATCGAGCATGGCATTCCAGGTTGAATTCCACCAGTGGGATCCGACTGTACAACCATGTGATACGAAATGGCTACCTCATACATAGTACTGAGGAGCCGACGCACCACCCATTTAATCACCTTCAGGCACCTGACGTTCTTGATTTGGCATTATCCAAAAACTGTAGCTACAGCATCAGTTCTCGAATCATGTATGACATCTCAAGCGATCATCTTCCCGTCGTTTTGGAAGTGGCTAATGAGCAGATCTTGGGGGATGAAATCCCTCCAAGGAAACGCATTGATTGGGAGCTATACAAGTCGCTCCTCAAAGAGTTCCCCAATATACCGATCATAGATGATGAGAACGGTATAGATGCGGCTCAAGCAGAGTGGACAAGTTTTCTTCAGCAAACTCTGCAGCGTGCAGCTGTACTTCCCGTGCAGCGATACGGCAGACCTTTTCTGCCAGCAGACATTCGTCAGAAAATTTCTGATAAAAGAGCTGCAATTAAGCAAGCGAAAAGGTCTTGTCATCCTGATGACATTCGCAGAGCGACGAATCTTGTTCATGAAGTAAGAAATGCTCTTCATGATTTCCGCAATGAGCAATGGAACGACTTTCTGGCGGGGATGCTTGACTCAAGCATTCCTCTCTGGAAGGTGGCGAAGTCGCTCAAAAACGGAAAGCGTGAACAAATCCCACACATTCACGGTCCTGGAGGCATTGTCTTCAGGACAGAGGAGAAGGTTGAGGTTTTCGCCGATGCCATGGAAAGACAGTTCTCTCCCAACTATGATCTTGATAATGACCTCGACGAGGAGCAACACATCGTAAGATCTGTCAGGAGATATTTTAGGGCCAACGGCGTCAGTGACAGTCGCGCATTCGTTGGTGATTTTTCTTCATCAGAAGATTCTTCTTCAGAAGCTTCTTCAACCGAAGATTTGCTTAGCACATCAGTGGTATCTCCTGAGATCCCGCATTACACACCAGCAGAGATTCAAGGTCATATTAAAGACCTTAAAGTGCGTAAAGCACCTGGGGAGGATCAAATCACTAATAAGGCGCTGAAGCTGCTTTCGCGGAAGTCCTTAACTTATCTCGTGGCAATAGTCAATGCCATGCTCAGGATCCAGTACTTCCCATCCGCGTGGAAGACCGCTGAAGTTATAATGATTCCAAAGAAGGTGGGTTCGATATTTCCCCAGGATTATCGTCCCATTAGCCTGCTGTCAGCTGCGTCTAAGCTCGCTGAAAAGGTGATTCTACGTCACCTTGAGAATTTCTCGTCAGATCACCATGTGATTCCTGACGTGCAATTCGGTTTTCGGTCTGAACATAGTACGGAGCTACAGGCGGTTAGGCTGGTGGAACGTGTAACCAGAGGATTCACCCTTAACGAAAGTACTGGCATCTTGCTTTTGGATGTCTCAAAAGCATTTGACAAGGTGTGGCACGCGGGCCTCTTGTATAAACTAATCCAAAAGGGCTTCCCTTTTTGGCTTCTAAAACTACTGAAATCCTTCCTTGAAGGTAGGAAATTTCGGATCAAAATTGACAATGTGCTGTCGACAACACGGCTGATTACAGCCGGCGTCCCTCAGGGTTCGGTCCTTGGACCTATCCTTTACTCACTGTACATCCATGACGTCCCTAGTCCCAGCAACTGTGAAGTCTATCTCTATGCTGACGATACTGCATTGGTGGCTCAGTCGTGGTCTGGTGACCTAGTCCATGACAGGCTGCAAAGTGCGGTGGAAGAAGTATTAGATTGGGCGGATCGGTGGCTAATTAAAATAAACCATTCGAAAACGCAGGCAATCTACTGTACAAAAAGACGTCGCGGCGTTCCGTCTGAAGTTTCAATGAATGGACTTCGTATACCATGGGAATCCTCCGCTAAGTATCTCGGTGTCATTCTGGACAAAGGGATGACTTGGCGGAACCATATGGAAGCGCTAAAAACTAATTTCCAAATTACGTTTCGGCAGCTTTACCCATTATTATGTAAACGGTCAAAATTAAGTTTGATTAACAAGATTCGACTCTATAAGGTGGTCATAAGACCAGCAATGACATACGCATGTGCGGCTTGGTGTTTCATTGCTAAAACACACATGCGAAGTCTGCAGGTTCTGCAAAGCAGGACGTTGCGCACTATTGGTATGTCTCTAACGAAACTCTACATAGAGACCTCGATGTCCCTTACCTAAAGGACTACATTAAGCAACAGGCGCAGCGGCGCTATAGCCTAGCGGAATCGCACAGCAACCCTCTGTTGCGTGATTCAGTGGACTACACAGTCGAGCAAGTTCGCAAGCACAAAAGGCCGCGGCTCGCACTGTAATCAAAATTAACTCGTGAACTTAGAACAACCAAAATTGGAGCATTTTTACACAATCTTTAGAAAAAATCAAATATTTTTAGACCATATCAAAATCTGTGAAGCGATTTTAACAATGCCTAAACGCTGCATATCCTAAAAGATTCTCTTCTTCCCCTTTGCTCTCGTTCTTCCTTCTCTCCTTTCCTTCCCCTTTTTTCCTTAAAATTGTCTGGTTTCTGGGTTACCAGACCTGACAGACTTACAAACTGACACTGTGACTCAAGAGCTAAGGTCCCACGGACCGCTCTGACAACCAACGATGACTTGACCTGACTTGACGTCCATGTTTTCAATACCCCTTTGAACAACTTGCACCAATAAAACCGGACTTCGCGATTATTTCGGGCAAACTTGCTTTGATTAATGTCGAAATCACGAAAGATGACGATTACGTCATCATTTTAGTCTGTAGTAAAGACAAACGACAGCAATTTGTGAATATTTTTAATGAAGTTTCAGATATGTTAGACAGAGACAAACAGAGTTTTATTGTCTAAACAAGCTGTATTGCTAATTTGCATGTATCCGATAAAAATAGACGATATTTTCATGTTGCATGATCGAACATATTTGAAATATGAATGGTTAGGTTATGTTAAAGCAGGTTAGGTTGTTTTCGAATAATACTTTGGTCTTTGGTGCTCCTGTCAAGGTATTCTACTCATAACTGCTTTTTTTCAATACAAAAACTCCTCACTGAAATTATTCCTAACTTCGTAAAATCATAATATAAATGTGTGTCATTATGTTCCTGGCATCGTGATTTTATCATCCATTGATTACTTCAGTACAATTTATGGTATGGCGTAATAGTCATCTTTCGTGATTTTGACTATAGATATAGACTATTAGTCCAATAAAAACAATGATTACTGCGTTTTTAGTTTTAACCCACCATAAAAATACTAGAATACCTTATATAATATTCTTTACCATACATCATTTTTGTTTAAGCACAAAGGTGTTAAGCTTGTATTGTTTTTTGAATTCTGAATAATTTCAAACTGAAACTATACTTTTCGCCTATTTTGTTCCGTGACATAAATCAAATTCAAGCGGATAACCAAATGGAAATGGTATTTACCATTTTGGGTTGGTATTTACCAATCCGTTCAAGCGAGTGTAGTTATCAGTTTGGTTATAAGATCCGTGACGTCACGAATCAGCTGTTATATGTCATAGTTATCACCGCAAAATTGTCGTATTTACCCAACTCAAGAGTAGTTTTATATTTCTGGTTATTATTTGAAATGTGACCAGTTAGAATTTTGCCGGGTATTTGATATTGTTATTGTAGTTCAGCTTCATTTTTGAGAAAAATGATACAGGCTGACTTCAGTTTTACCATAAAGTGGAGCACCTTATTAGTTATACTCATTACGGTTGTTGGGGACACTTTAAATGTAGTTCCTATGCTTAACAAAGTATCCTGTGTAGCCATATACCACAAGAATATTAAAATATGGCCATATAAACTCACTAGATGATATCCACCTGTATACGGTTTTGCTAATTTCTTTTTTCATCATTTCTGTTAAATCAATAAATGTTTTCTTTGACATGAGGAAAAGTTTAGAGAATTGAAAGTTATCATAGCTACAAAGCCATGGTTCCATCATTAAAAAAAAATCTGAAAAAACATGTCTCCCATGAATATTATGAAAGGTTTCTTATTTAAACTTTCCATATACAGTTGTAGACGAAAAAGCACCGATTATTAAGTGATAATAAAAATAATCAGAGATTATATACGCGCTTTTCTAAAATAAACAACTTGCAACAAAACCGCGGTTAAAACCAACGCGTTCAAGCGATTCGTGTAACTGACGTCATCAACCCGTGTGTCATCTTGAACCATATTATAACCGCGGCACAATTTTGGTTATTCGCTTGGATTTGATTATAGATAAATAAATTTGTCAAAAAAGACGTATTCCTGACCGCAATCTTCGTCCTTGCAGTCACATTACAATCAACGATTGGTAGCACTGCGGAATCAGTTCTTAATTGATATTGGCAACACTGTAATCGAATCATTTGTTCTATGTATGATCCTGGAACGTACCTTGTTCTTATTTTCAACGTCAACTTTTATCAAAATTGTTTTCTTTTGGATATTTGGATTACACATTTAAAGTGTATTTAGGAATTAGTGGTGTGAACAGATTATGAATGACAATTTATGAAAATGGCAAGTCATAGAGAAAATAATATAGCAAATTACCAAATAATTTCAATCCTTGGTCACTGCTTCAATCAGCTGGCTGTAGTTCAACTTGCAAAGTTCATCCCTACAGGTGCTATGGTTGCAATTAAAAAGTTCGATATGGACAAAATAAAGGAAGCATACTTAGTAGAGGTAATTTCCCCATAATCCTATATAAACGATCACATTATTGGTACTTTTCTTATAGAGTGAAATCATCTTAACTAGGCAGCTGAACCACCCTAATATCATCAAGTATATAGTGGCATTTGTATCAGGTCCCCAAGTTTGTGTAGTTAGTCCACTTATGGCTTATGGGTCATGCAGAGATTTATTGAGTAGACACTTCAATGAAGGTATATGGAATATGGCTGCAAAACTCTAATTCATAGCTTTATTTTAGGTTTATGTGAACCTGCTATCATTTTGATAATCAGGGATGTTTTAGATGCATTAGATTATATTCATAAAAAAGGCTATATTCATAGGTAAATAAGGAATTTTTACTAGATTATCCTTCAAAATAAGATAGCACGAAGTACCATCTATTACCTGAATTGATCACTGAATATCCTTGGTCTGATTTTGTTCAATTGTCTTTCAAAAGGTATTTCTGATGGCGGGTTTATATAACCTTTTAATAGTCATAGACATAAGCATGCATTGAAATATGCATGTCTTACTGTTGTGTTTATACAAATTGTTATAAGCATAGTTGAAAATTGGAAATTTTGACTCATGATTATGGTTATGACTGAAACATCATATTACCAAGTCTATGTGTCAAAATTGCCACCTAATACCAATGTATTCGAATAGGTTAGAAGGAGCCAGGCCTGTATGTTTACATTGCATTGTTTGTTGCCAAAGTTGTGTACTTGTAGTGCAAATCTTTGACTCATTTGTCCACTAATTTCTACCAAACTGACACCATTGGATCAACATAATAATAATGCTTATACTGGTGGGAACATCTACCTTCATTCGGCTTGTGCTGCTCTTTGCAAATTATGTAAGAAGCATCATGTTTTGAAATCATGTAATACCACAAATTCAACTGCTTATGACCATTATAATTAAAAGAGTTGTATAAAGATGCCCCAAACTTATAACTATGACTATATTTATTCTTATGTGTATGCTAATGACTATTAAAAGCTTGTATAAACCTGCCATGTGATAAAAAAGACATCATATGATAATAAAAAATTTAATTTATTGTCTAAATATTTTGAAGGGCAATTAGAGGCAGTCACATCTTGATATCTGATAATGGTAAGGCTTGCCTGGCAGGATTGAGGTATGCTTGTCCCATTGTTTTAAATGGTAAATGGCAAAGAAGTATTCACTCATTCCCTTCCACAACTGAAAGAAACTTGAATTGGCTAAGCCCGGAACTTTTAGAGCAGAATCTGAAAGGTAATAATGTTTAAACATTTACATAATATTATAATAATGTAATTGGAGCAAAATTTCAATCTGTATTTCTATAGACCTATTTGAGTCAGCTTCAGAAATAAAGTTGATGGAATTGAATAATGTAGAAACACCTCACTTTCCAGTTTAGATTATTTTCACTTTCTGTTGTGAATTCTTATTTCCACTGCATTCAAATAAAACATTTTGGGGTGTATCAGCCCTAACATTAGGGTAATAAAGCATCATGACATTATTAAATCATGGGCAAGATCCTGTCGCAACTGGAATCCAAGTTTGCTTCTTGGAATGATTGTAATGGCGCAATCAAAATTTGTCAATTATAGCTCTGCCATGCTCTTTGTTATACTGAGTGTCGAGGAATAAATTTCCCTTTTAAAGGCTAATAAAATAATGTCTTGCAGTTTTAAAATTAATTTATTGAAGCAAAAATACACACAATATAGGCGGATTCATGTTTTAAAAATTATATTGTCAAGATGCCTTCCATTTCGGTTGAAATGCTGTCTTCAGGTGGTTAACAACTGCTAAACATAATTCAGGTGTAATTGCTCTAATTTCTTCCCGTATTTTTTGTTTTAATTCATGCAAAGTCCCAGGCTGAATAACATAAACTTTACTTTTAAGGTATCCCCACAAAAAAGTCCAATGGGGTGAGATCTGTAGACCTAGCTGGCCAGTTTCGGTCTCCAAAGCGAGAGATGACCTTTTCCAGGAATAATTCTCGAATGACTTCCATAGATGCTCGGGCTGTATGTGCGGTAGCGCCGTCTTGTTCAAACGTGTTTTTGCCTTGGATTCTATAGTACCCAATAGCGACAATTTTGCTTATTAACTGCGCCTGAAAGGTGAAAGTGCGCGTCGTCACTGAACAGAATGCTGTTAATTCGGTCGTTTGCAAAAAAACTGTTTATCGTTGTTTCGGCGATACATAAAGTCATTTGGGTTTAATTCTTGTACTATTTGGATCTTGTAGGGATGAAGCTTTAAATCTCTCCTAAAATTGTATGAAAAGATGATTTACGCAATCCCACCACCTGTGATGTTTTACGAACAGATCCACTTGGATTTTGAATTATAGCGGCGCCTACAGCTTCAACATTGTCAGGAGTAGTTACAGTCCTTGAAAGACCAGTTTGTTTCACATTTAAAGCCGAGGATGTTTCTCCAAACCTCTTCACACACGATTTCACTAAATTTTTACTTGGTGCGACCTCCACAGGCCTAATATTGAAGTGAGGACAAAACCTTCGTGTTGCAATTGTGTAAGAGTCATCGTTCTTGAAATATGCCTCAATAAAGAACACACGATGCGCATCAGGCCATCGCTTCATTTGCACTAAATAATCCGCATCCATCCACTATCGAAGGACGCTACGCCGACCGCACTAAGTTACACTGTTGCCAAGATATTCGAGTTTAAAAAGGGAAATTTATTCCTGGACACCTTGTATAAATATTGGAAATCAAAAGTTTACACAAAATTTTAATGTAAGTGAAAGTTCAAAGTAACAATGCATTTAACTGGTATATGGTGAGGTAAATTTGGCTGACGTCATAATGTGTACGAAAGAGAAGCGTCCCATATGTACGTTAGAAAGAGGGCGCCGATCCGCCGATGGCGTCCGTGACCTTCTACTCGGGTTACTAGGAAACAAGGTGCTTCTATCTTCCTTATAACACAAGTATTGTACGCTTCTCTCTCTTACACATTAAGACGTCAGTGGTATTTGGTTTTCACTGTATAGAAGCCATAAATGCAGCTGCTTTGACAAGCTGTTTACTTTTTCTGCAGCTTTCTCATACCTAGTAATAATAGTGCAACATAGCACAGAAATTCGGTTTTACAGACTTTCAATTTGTCATATCCATACAGCATGGGTGCTTCCATCGTATAATATAAACAAAATCAGAATATGTAATTAGTTATAATCTTTGCAGGTTATAATGAAAAGTCTGATATTTATAGTATAGGTATAGTGGTATGTGAATTGTCTAATGGGATAGAACCATTTGCTGGAATGTCAAAAACACTGATGTTGACAGAAAAAGTTCGAGGATATGCCCCTTCAATTCTAGACAGCACTACAATACCAAGAGATGAAAATATTGAAAGTGGTGGTTAGTAGAATTGAGATCAATTTTTTTGTTAAATATACTCAAAAATAAGTTCGATTCTGTATCACTTACAAACATAAGTTCCATCAATACATTCTCATTATACTCTTGTGCCATTTACATATAGCAGTTGCACCAGCATTGTGTCACATTATGTGCACCTTCATAATTATATAATTGCATTTTTTCTATGGTCTTCTAGTGAGATCTTTTTGTCATATACAGGTGATTGTGAAATAAGTACAAACATACTAAATCGAAGATTTAGTGATGACCTACATGAGATAACCAATCTTTGCCTGCATAGAGAAGCATATGATAGACCAACTGCAGGGCAATTGTTGACACATCCGATTTTCAAGAATAATAAGAGATTGTTGCCACTACCAGAGCTCTTGAAACCTGCATTGCCTCTCAGTGATAGAGTTGGTTATGATACTGGTAAGTTGGTGTTACTCTTGAGTCTAGTTTAGGATTGAAATTGGTCATTAGATGCTGCACTATGCAGTAGTGTTACTGCCATTGACCAAGTCTTCTATCTCCCGTGCTCCACTCAGAAAACTTTTGATATTCTATTGCTTTTTCGCACGCTCGGGCATTAAATTGACGCGCTGTAAAAAAGGTACGACTCAACGTGCCGCTGTCATGCAAAACGGTCGTCAGGACATGTTGTTAGCATTACACCTCGACTCTTATTCTTGAACAACGGAATAGGGTCGCTGAGATGAAGTGGGCACGGTTCTCTTGCCTGTAAAATGATCCCAATTTCTGACATTTGCGAGAATACATCCATTTTCGGTAAATTAATATGTTTCTGGGTTCTTCATAGCATTAAACGTTCCACCACAAAGATAAGTTCCTCTTTAGAGACTGATGTATGACCGACGGCGGGACTTCCTCACTTTTTCTCTCTAGAATGACTTGGTGAGTGACTGTTCTATATTGTGTACACTGAAATATAAGAGAACCACGCCCACTTTCTCCATATTGCTTTACTTCCTCATTTCAAGAGTACAAAATGTGGTCGCACGAACATGTTCAACACGCGGCATCTCAAGTATTTTTACGCGATCTTATAGCTGTGAAAGTATTGAAAATGATCGTGAATTCTGAATTGCAATTTCAATAATACAAAAACGACCTATGATACGAGGTCTGTAAATTAAGTGATGAGACTGTTTTTTTTTTAATTATTTTATTCAAATACAATTAATTTTTCATATTGTCACCCTCAAAATTGCGTCCCTCTGAAGCCATACAGCGCTGGAGACGATTCTTGCTCTCCTCATAGCAGTGCTGGAATAGCTCTCAGCTGGACGGTTAGAGCCCTTTGAATGTTTTCGACTGTCCCAAAATGAGTTTCTCAAAGTGATTTTTCACCTTCAGGGAAAAAATCACAAGGATTCAAGTCTGGCGAATAAGGACGCTGAGGAGCAACAGGAATGTTTTTGTTGGCTAAAAACTCTTAATGCAACACCTAGTTGTTCTTGATCTGATGTACGGTCGTGTGAGTCAAATTTAAATCTTTCCAGATCATTCTGACTCAACCGACCATCTGGACACACATTATCCCGATCGATATTTTCATCGGTTCTTTAAGATGAAGGCCTTCCGCTTCGTGGTACATCCTCACGCGATTTTCTCCCTTCTTTTCCTTAAACTACCGAAAAACCTGAGCTCTTTACAATACACTATCTCCGTAGACCTGCTGATGTTGGCAAAACTTTCCGTTGCATCGTGTCCAAGCCTGAAGTAAAAACTGATAGCACACCGTTCCTCGAAATTCATGTCATTCATTTTTAGAACACAATTGGAAAAAAATCGCTACGGACAACTAAATGACTCGAGCGAGTTCAAACTTCTACTGAAGGCGGATCACATGTTCCCCTGACTCTCTTCCAAGCCCGGTGCCTCCAGTGTTGCCAGAACACATATTTGATTATGGCCTGTTGTTCATTAAATGAGATTTTTGACATACAAATATAATTTCAGGGTCTTCTCGTAGACGTAAATATTCTGTGTAAAATTAACCATACTGATGCCGTTCACTTTTTACTGGTTGCACTCAACACTCATCTTTTCGTGCGATAGTTTTCTTTTAAACATTTATATGTTAGGTTCAGATAAGATAATATAACTGCTTCATTAGTATCCATTTCAATATTCAATTGGCTATCGTGCTGTTTTGTTTAAGTTTAAACGTGTCCCATGCTGCTTTCGTCCGTCCAACCTCAGACAGCCAACCTTAGCTGTTTCATGCTTTATCGCAAATCATCAAGATCTAGGCTTGGTCTCTGGGACAACGAACGAAATCGTAGCAAATATCCTCTATCCAAGGTATGAGATCTATTGAAATAATACAGCGCAAAGCGCCATCTATTACCAGAATCGATTCTAGTAATAGATGGCGCCTAGCGCTCTTATTGCGATAGTAGTACTAGTAGTTTTGCAGCGCGTCAATTTAAGCCCCCTATCTCCTAGCAATTCCTGAAAAATGTCTAATAAACGCATTCGTTCTTTTAGATGAAATGGAAAATTATGAAACTATCAGCAAAATGTCACAATTGGAACTCAACTCCTGTGAATGGGATTTTGAATGATATGTGTGTAGTATAGATAATTAATATGGCTTATGTTCCTTTTAAAGTCAATACATAGATACTTAATACTCTGCAATGTAATATTTGTGTGTATATAGGAAATGATGTGGATTTTTTACTCTTTATAAATAAAATAATATGGCGCTTGATTTTTATTGCATAATATTATGTACATTATATAAATACATTTCAATTAATTCTTTTATATTCACGCTAAAATTGGTGCTTAACACTATATTTCGGTAGTGTGTGAGAAAACGATAACAGTGATAAACATAAACAATAAAATAAATTCACTAAAAATTCCATCCAACACTCTCCCATATTCTGCGATTTCGTACAAATTACAAATGGCTATTTCTATGAAAAGCTCGCATTGGGACCACATCCGTTAAGTTTATTGGTTCAGGAGTCTCAAAAGGAAGTGGTCTAGGAAGAACCTTTTACCTTCTGTATTCTGCAGTTCTACCAACTGCAAGTGATGTATGCATAGCAACATTTGCAGATGATATGGTGATTTTGGCATCCGATAGGAATCAAGACATAGCTTCACAAAATCTTGCTCCAACTTGAGGACTGGCTAAAGAAATGGCGCATAATGAAATCAAGTCCACACATGTGATATTCACCTTATATAGAAAAAACTGTCCACCGTTAACTATCAATGAGTTACAAATTCCACAATTTTCTTACAAACGAAACAAATTGGCATCAAACTAAGAGAGGTTGTATTGGATTATAGAGATATAGGAAATCGAAGCTGTCATTGGGCGACAAACTACTACTCTGCAAGGTTTTGATGAAGCTAATTTGGACGTATGGTATTCAGTTATGGGGCACAGCAAGCTACAGCAAAATTGCAATCGTAGAGCGGTTCCAGAATAATGTCTAGAGCTCTAGAGAATGATCGTCAACGTAGCTTACAATGAGTAGTTTCCAAAAGTCAGTCATTGTGACATACCTCGCCCTACCATCAAGGAAGTGATCCACGAGTTCAGTGAAAGGGTAGAAACACACATTGTGTTAGCATACCAATTATGTCTAATAATGATGCGAATAGGTTAGGGACTTTGTGATACGACCACGATAATCTCGGCATAACTCGTGTGAACGGGATTTTGAATATGTGTATAGTGTAGGTAATTAATATGGCTTTCGTTCCTTTTGAAGTTAATATACGTTCATTTGAAATCTTCCCACCACGGATTTATCGAAATCCACTGATTAAAAGAAAAAACGCCGAGGCATTTCAAAAGATTTGTCAAGGGAGACAACTTTTTAACCAAAAACTACTTCACCCCCTTTCACCCTCTGCTCCCTGGTCATCCCCTTAAACATTTTAAATGACAAGGGGTATCGAGTAATAACTTATTTGAAAGGTTTTTCGAAGTCCTTTATTTTGACGATTGTTTTTTAATATCGGTCGATTCGTTTATCAAGAAAATTAGAAAAATCTTTATTTTTCTTCAATTCGGAAGATTAGACGTGGCAACAACCAAATAACAACCCGAATTTTTTCTGCATTCTTTTCATCAACAAATATTCTGGGCGAACAGTATTTATTGTTATACCTGTTTAGTTATTTGTTCCTAGTGGAAAGAAAGAATGTAATTTGCTGTCAGTTACCTTTGTGACAATCTTGGGATAATGAAAATTAATTTATTGATTCAGATTTTACTTCCAAAATGGTTTACACGCTAGCCGAAAGAGTGGAAATGGTTCTTATTAATCAATGAAACCATTGAAAATCGAATCGAAGAGGATGGAAACCCTGTACTTAATGAGGCTGAAATATATTTCCAGCAAGACGGCGCTCCTCCTCACTAAGTTTTCCGGTTCGGGAATAGCTAGACGACGAGTTTCCAGATAAATAGATAGGGCGAAGAGGGCCTATAGAATGGCCTGCTAAATCTCCTGATTTGACGCCATTAGTCTTTTTTTCTATGGGGCCATTTGAAATCTATTGTTTCCTCCCCAACTTGAAAGTTTGGATGAACGTTGTCATCGAAAGCTGCCATGATATCCCCAACATGTTTTTGAAAATGTCCGTCATGAATTTGATCGTCGCCTATATCATTGTTTGGCCACTAACGGACAACATTTTGAACACTTATTGAATTAAAAAGTGATATTTTCGTGTATTTGTTTTCTATCTGATCAAATTAAAATAAATACAGATTTTTCTAATTTTCTTGAATACGAATCGACGGATTAAAAAAAATCAGACGTCAAAATGAAGGACTTCGAAAGACTTCAAACAAGCTATTCGATACCACTTGTCATTTGAAATTTTTAAGGGGATGACCCTGGGGGGCAGAGGGTGAAAGGGCGTGAAGTAGTTTTTAGTTAAAAAGTTGTCCCCCTTGAAAAATATTTTGACCTGTCTCGGCGCTTTTTTTAATCGGTGGTTTTAGATAAATCCGTGGTGGGAAGCTTTCAAATGAACACCCTGTATAGATTAAATACTGCGAAATGTAATTTTTGTGTGTATAGGGAATGTTGTGTACTGTTTACTTTTTATAACTAAAATAAAATGATATGCTACTTGATTTTTATTGTATAATGTAATATACATTATAAAAATACAATTCTTTTAGACTCTAAAATTGGTGCTTGACACATACTGCTATGTTTCAGCAGTGTGTGGAATATAAACTATAAAAGTGATAAACATATAAACAATAAACTATGAATTTACCCAAAATGCCTGCCAAATGACTCCTATTAACATATGTAAACTTATAGTAATTATTAAAGTGGGTATTTCATATATACATAATGAGTATGCAAAGAGGAAAAGCCTAAAGTTATTCCTCGTATCTTGAATGATGCTTACAGGTAGTCTTAGAAACATAGTGGCGGCAGGGTTATTGAGGTAACTCGTATAATTGCGCTCAAATTACATACTGTTGTACAAAATAATACACGTGATCTCAGGGCAGTTACTTTTACATTTATAGGCTTATGAATTACAAGAGAGATGTTTAATATTGAAGATTGTCCACTGTTTATAACTACATATATACATTCATTATGGTGTATGAACGGTTTTATATAGGCGCACAAGGGAAATTATCAACATAAATTTATTGGAAATTGATATAATTCTAGTATGCTCTCAATCATTGTAATAACTTGCAAAAATCTTGTTTCTTACCGATTTCGCTACGATTAAATAATCAAATGTATGAATTTATGGACAGTCAAAGTATGCATCTAAAGAAGCATACAATGAATTTACCAAAATTAAACCTCATTCATTTATTCAATATCCGTGTTATGGACCCTTGCATTTCTGATATAGTAATAAATATACCCTGTCTGAAAAAGATTAACTAGTATTATGTTATTATCTCATAAATACAGCAAGCAACACGAAAACGATTAATAAATAATATAAAATAATGACACAATCAGTTGCTATAGAACTGATTCATGTCCAATTTTATATCTTTGATAATGAAACCATACGCCCTTTAGACCCGCTTATAAATATTAATTTGTAATCATTTTGAAGAGGTCAGGCGTGTTTAAACCAAGCTATGTGGAAGGTCTCAAATTACTTATATTTGTTCAATGTCCAATAGCTATCCATAGTCTAATCATATTAGACGAAAATACCCCTGGCTTGCGAAATAATTGTAAAATCTGGTTTTATTGCTGCAAGTTGTTCAAGGTGGTATTTAAAACATGGACGCATAAAATGGGTACACCAATTTTTGCGGTAAAACTTTTTATTCAAAAAAAAGAATGAGAAAACCCGTTTTTTGGGATTCAATCGAGAGTTTTGACGGGAACGACAAAACTCTTCAAATAAGAATTTAGGTATTCATGAGACCTACAGAATGAGACAACATGTAAAAAGATCCGACTAAAAGAAAAAAGTTATGGCCGCAAAAACCGAGGCTAAATGCAGGTTTGAAAGATAATTAAAATGAGAAAACCCGTTTTTTTGGGATTCAATCGAAAGTGTTGGCAGGAACGAAAAAAAATTTCAGATAAGATTTTTAGGTATTTATGAGACCTACAGAATGAGACCACTCGTACAAAGATCCGACTAATAGCATGTTATGACCGAAAACCGAGGCAAAATGCAGGTTTTGGCATTTGATGCTAATGCGACGATAATTTCAAGTAGCTAGGTACTTGAAACTCTTTGAACCAAATGTTATTTTTATGCAAAAAATGATGAGTTACGTTTTTTCTTCTAATCAAATTCAAACATTTCGTATTTGTGAGTGATTCGCAACAAAAGGTGATAGACACATCCTCTATTTTAAAATGTGCAAAGTAACGTAAGTTTTTCGAATATCGCATCACTCACAAATACGAAATGTTTGAATTTGTTTAGAAGAAAAAAACATTTCTTTTTCGCATAAAAATAACATTTATCTTTTTTAATGGTTTGTGATTCATAGCGGCAAGGTAAACACGTGTATTTTGCAATTAAATGCTCTTTGATCGAACCCTGTATATAGCTCAATAAACTAGTAGTGATGGCCGGAAAACATGTTTTGGGATAAACAATATACTTCAATTTTGTCGTTGTTATTTAGAAGTATGAATCCGATGGATTTGAAGAATCTCAAGTAGTTGCGTGAAATTATCCTTGCATTACCAACAAGTGCCAAAACCTGCGTTTTACCTCGTTTTTCGGCCATAACATTTTTGCTATTAGTGTGATCTCATTTTGTAGGTCTCATAAAAACCTACAACTCTTATATAAAAAGTTTTTCGTTCCTGTCAACACTTTCGATTGAATCCCAAATAACACGTATTCTTTTTGTTTGTTGTCAAATAAAAAGTTTTCCCACAAAAATTGGTGTAGCCATTTTATGCGTCCATGTTTTAAATACCCCCCTGAACAACCTGCACCAATAAAATCAGACTTTACAATTATTTCGGGGAAATTTGCCAATATGATTAGACTATCAGTGAAAATCCCTTTCACAATGGATTATAATGGATGGATTGAACTAGGTTGAGATTTCTGGTAAACGTTTCAGATAGGTACGCAGTAGAGATCGGATTTCTTTTATTATTTTTTTATTATTAATAAATATTTAATCAAACTTAGCAGCATAACTGTACATTTTGTGTGGTAATATCTCTTTGTGTAGGAACTAAGGGTTATCTAGCTGGGTTTTAATATTACCTAGGGTAGACGTGTTCGCCTGTAAATTTCTGCAATTATGTATAAGCAACATAAGAAGACTGCTGTCGATACATACAACATAAAACAGTTTTACCAATTCCTTAAAACAGTTTTAGCATTTAAACGTCGATTCTCTTCTTTTCTCATACAAGCCTGTAAAACAGATAAAATTGCTGCGTTTTGTAGCTAAATGAGCTGTGCCGTAAATTAATGAACTTCTGTTTTGCCCTCAAGTGCAGATTTTCATTTTCATTAAATGACGAAAAAGATTTGGATCGACTTTGGCATAATAGTTCACATTTTCTTTCAAATTGGCATTTGCTGTTTCAGAACCATTCTCAGTCTTGAAAATCATCCAAAACGTCATATGGAGGATAGAATACCAATATACTATACCTATTACTATTAGGAACACAAAAATTTCATTCACACTATTTGACCTACTGTCAACAGTTCGCAATTTGACAGTGTTTACAAGAATTACTAAGTTCGAGGTTGAATGTCTCTATTTGGACTGTACAACTGACCACGCTAATGTGGCTTTGTATCACGGCGATAGTCTTTTTTAGGAGGACGTCTCTATCACAGTAAGGATCTGAAAAAGAAATAAGCATAAAGGGATATTATTACTACTAGCTAACTTATAAGATAGACAAGTACATATTTAAATATTGATATGAAGAGTTCATTCATAGGCTCAAATAAAACATACAACTCTAAAAGAGCTAAAAGCCTCTAACTATCCTCTATCAACAATTTCCCGTTGGAGTATCTATCGTCACTAGCCACAAACCATGAGGACAATTCTTGAAAATGGACAAATAAAACTCACGTGCTTCTTGGCAGGAAAATTGTAAGAAAAAAATGCGGGAACCTCGCCGTCGTCCACCAGTCTCATATCTAAAGATGAAGTCAACTTTATGATGAAACATAATGGAATTAAAGACTTTATGAACATTAATAGTATGCCTAAACATGGATGAGTAAACAAATTCATTGGATAAATGTCAAAAGCTATCAGAAAAAGCCTCAAAAGGTGATAGAACTGCATATATTTTCTAATTTCTCTAGTCCCCCATTTTCAAAAATTGGTTCCAAGATGTCAGCGCTACTGACGTAGTAAGAGGTAAGCACCACCCATCAATAGATTTATATAATTTAGATAAACGATTTTTTTATTACTCACCTACAGCCAGATGGACTGCAATTGCATTTTTTCCAGCAGCTAACGACCATATATGCAAACTATGGACATGTTTTACACTGGCAAGTTTACTCAATTCTTGTCTCAATTGACTAGCGTCTATTGGACTACCTTCAATGAGGTACCACAATGACTCCTGCAAGTAAAAACACTTTTTTGACATCTGGAAGCTGGAAATCAAAGTCAAAATAAATGTCTAGTAAGCAAAATGTTGTAACACCTTCGAAATATTGATTGAAAAGTTGCAGTTTAATAGTAACCACCGCTGCCAAAAGCCAAAATCTGTGCTACATTTTTTTACATCGAAGCAGTCACGCTAAGAAGAGCTTACAGAAACTTGGTTAATCCGATTTTTGAACTGCCTAAGATTAGTACAACTCATGTAGAATGTCCCGCAATCTCGATACCCCAGGGACAAAGGAGTCATCCTATCGGCAATTTTTGGATGTACAAAGTTCGACACGGTTAGGATGGAAGACCGAAGTCAGGCGGGTCTGTCTGGTAGTGACATCGCGCGGCGGCATCATGGAGGAGAGCTCTTAGAAACAAAACCCGTTGGTGTAGTGGTAGAAGAGAGCTAGATCGCCGACGGCCCGTCTGTGAGAAAGGATCCAGAGACCGTCCGTTAGAGAAGAGTCATCGATCAGTCGGACAGCCTTTTTCTGAGCAGCATCGAGCATGGATAATGTAATCGGGGCGGCACCACCCCAAACATGTGAGCAATACTTGAGGCCAGGACTTATCTGGGCCTTATAGAGTGAGGACGTCATGTGGAGAAAAGTACTTCTTAGCTCTAAACCCCATTACCAATTGCAACTAAATTACTGAACAACTACTATGGCGGAGAATTCAAAGCCAACTTCAAGGACGTGCTGCCACCATAGTCACATTTTTACATGGTAAGGTTACGGGTTGATAAAGGATAACGACAACAAATAGATTTATTGCATCATTAAAAAAACATGCTCCCTTATTACCAACAAACAATTTCTGACTACCGCACTATCAGAGAACTATGTCAGTCATCCATGCAAATTAAAGGTATGAAGTTGTTTCGCTACGGCCTGCTCTGATCTGGTCTGCTATATATGACTGTTCGGCGTTATTGGCAATTCCTTGTTGAAAAGAACTGATGAGTGAACCTGTATAATATACGCGCCGATTTACCGCCGCTTGACATGTCATAGCCGATCGCGTATGTATTGGATAGTAATGTCCTTTCTAGTTCATTTCGGTGAACTAGTTCAATAGGCAGCGCTCAATAAAACGAAGTAGTTCTAGGAACTGGTTCGCGAACGAGCTATTTTACACGAGAATAATGTTAGTGAAAGCGTCGTCTCTCAATCTTTCATCCGATCGCCGGAGTTAAGCACCGTCGGGCGCGGTTATTATTTGGATGGGTAACCGCACCGGAATACCTCGTATTGTTGGGCACAGAGCAAAACCTATCCCAGATTAGTTAAGATGGTTAAAAAACGTTTGTGCTATGCGAGCGGCCTTTTTTAAAGGCTGAGCAAGCTGTCTGGTCACCAGAAATAGACGAGAAGCTGAACAATTAATATTTTTAAATGGAAATTTGAACATTTTCATTTTAGCATTCTTTTAATTTCTTCATGAGCCACAATTGCTGATCTTTTTTTATAAAAATATTTTTAGTTCTTTGAACCCTTATAACTAACAGCATTTATCATATGTTCCATAACTTCCAACCAGTTATCCAACGTTCTGCTTACGGTAGTGTTCCGTCTCCTTTTTCCTATCACGTTCTCGATCGTTCACTGACAACTAGTCGATTTAATCATCGGAATCCTGTAGTACCAGTCGTTGGTAGTGAACGAGTGTTTCATGGGATGATGAACTAGTTCTTATAGTTCAACCATAAGAATCGTTCGATTGATCTAGTTCGTTCGCGAACTACATACAACTGGAGTCAGAGTCTGAAAATTCTACAGAGAATTTTGTGTGTAGCTTCCGGATTACCTATTCTATGGTAGTACCTTCCTCTAGATGGAGTATTCGAAAGTGGACGAAAACGCCCCTTTGTAAGTGCTAAGAACCAATGGGAGGCGGTAAAGGGAATTGGGCGAGCGTTGAATTGATTTGGGGGCGACGCGATGGAAAATGTTTGTCCCTCGCTCTTAAATTGTCACAAGAACATTCGCTTTCAAAAGGTCTGATGTAGACCCCCCCCCTCTGCGCTCTCCAATTTTTAATACCACGCTCTTCAAAAGTGTCATAATGGTATCCATCCTCAGAACCACTGATGTAGCAGACGCTCTTCAATTTTAACCGCAGATGCACCCCCCTTCTCCCGAGACGGATATCTAGAACAATTTCGAGGGGCGCTACAAAATAATTGATCCTAAAATGGGCCGTATAAAAAATAAGTTTGAGAACCTCTGTTCTAAAAGAATAGGTCGAAGAAGCGATTTTCTATGTCAGTAGTCAATCAATAGATCTTACAGGCAGCAGCAGTGGCCGCAGTAGTAGACTCTTCGGTCTCCTGATCAGTCGCCGTGCGCTGTGCGGGTTCGAGTCCCGTCCCAGGAGAAATTTTTCTCTTGGCTATGGATGTTGTGATTGTCCGTAGGTGGTAGACGGTCTCTGACTGTCGAACGTGGAGGTACCACCCGGCGGATCTCGTAGGCGGAGCCAGAATGTGTGCATGTTGCATGCAGACGTGTTCCCTCGCCAGAGCGTGGCGTTCCCCCTTTCCCCTGTATCCCCCTATAGTCCCACGGTACCCAATGGGTGTTTACGCCTTAGGCGTTCGTGGTAGTTGGAGAATAAAAAAAAAGATTTTATGAATCGTTTCAAAAAACATATTCATTAAACATTACGTACCTTTCCTACTCTGATCGTTGTGCAAATAACAATCACAGAGAAGATGAGCGTGCAGATAGGATCGGCGATGTTGGCGTTCGGATAAAACTTGATGATGACGGCCGCTATCAGTACGCCAATGCTCTGCAGCAGATCACCCAGCACGTGAATAGCAGCAGCCCGGACGTTGATATTCGAGGTGCCGTCTGCTCCGGAACGCGGCTCGTGGTGCACGTGACTGTGATGACCGCCCCCAATGCCGTGGCTATGGCAGACGCCGTGCAGAATGCCGCCCATGCTGGAAGATTAGATTAATGAATGTACAAGTCAAAAGGGTTGTGCCTTTGGTATAAACCTTAACACGAAGCTACCCATTAGGATGAAATGCTGTACACTTCCGTGATTGGATATATCGTGGCCATATCGTAAAATTGATCATTTCATGAAATTATTGAGCGTTTCATAAAATGTATCATTGTACAGGGTGCGGCAGAGAGGATGGACGGTTTTAAAAAAATCATAAAATAGTTAATTTTTACTCGAAAACAAATTTATTGATGGAATCAGGTTCACAAGGAAATAGCATTTGAGACAGTCAAGTGTGGAAAATCACATCAGGCATGTGGTGGCCGAAATCGTTGATGCAGTGCTGGAGGCATTCTTGGAAGTTCACCAGACAGCAGCGGTGGCCGCAGTAGAAGACTCTTCGGTCTCCTGATCAGTCGCCGTGCGCTGTGCGGGTTCAAGTCCCGTCCCAGGAGAAATTTTTCTCTTGGCTATGGATGTTGCGATTGTCCGTAGGTGGTAGATGGTCTCTGACTATCGAACACGGAGGTACCACCCGGCGGTTCTCGTAGGCGGAGCCAGAATGTGTGCATGTTGCATGCACACGTGTTCCCTCGCCAGAGTCCGTGTGGCGTCCCCCCCCTTTTCCATGTATCCCCCTATAGCCCCACGGTACCCAATGGGTGCTTAGGCCTTAGGCCTTCGTGGTAGTTGGAGTATAAAAAAAATATCGCTCTCTCAACTTGGGCGACTTCCACGCGAATTTCGCCCTTCAATTCGTCCAGAGTTCGGGGCTTGTTCGCGTATACTCTAGCCTTGAGATGTCCCCATAAGAAAAAATCGCATATGGATAAATCTGGGGACCGAGGAGGCCAATGAATAACGCCAAACCTGGAAATAAGGCGACCAGGGAAGAGAGGGCGAATAACGTCCATGGATGCTCGGGCTGTGTGGGCGGTCGCCCCATCCTGCTGGAACCACACACGTCAGATTGGAACACGTCGCCGTCGTAATTCAGGGAGAAAGAAGTTGGTGATCATGTGGACGTAGCGCTCTGAGTTCACGATAACAGCAGGACCATTTCCGTTTTCGAAGAAGTAAGGGCCAATGATGCAAGTTTGCGATACAGCGCACCAAACCGTTACTTTTGGGCTGTGCAGCGGTCTTTTGTGTAACTGTTGCGGATTTTCATTAGCCCAATAGAGACCGTTTACCACCTACGGACAATCACAACATCCATATGCCAAGAGAAAAATTTCTCTTGGACCGGGATTCGAACCCGCACAGCACACGGCGACTGATCAGGAGACCGAAGAGTCTACTACTGCAGCCACCGCTGCTGCCTAAACGAAAAGTCAAGGGTGGAAATATGACACTCCTTAAATCGAGGTGTTTGATAAAAAATTTCATAGTCTGAAAGTCCCTAGTAGCCCCAAGATTTATGTGTCAATCACGAGTCCTCGCAGGGCATTTGTTATATTTCTCTCTAACATTGTACAGGAAAAAGTTAGTATTTTGGAAACTACTATCATATTCAAGAAAATGAGATAGTTACACATAGAGAGAGGGGAGGGCGAGTAGAATGAAAATCAACATATACTGAGGCTTGTGCTGCAACTCAAGGTCATACAATACTAGCTACTGTACCGCCAAGGCTTCGATGCCAAATAGGAAAATCGAGCAGATCAAAGAGAACAATGTGTGAGCTAAGAGCATAAAGTATAAAAACAAAACATGTGGAATTGCATGATCACAATATACTTTTATTGCCTATGATTTGATTACCAACGGTTGATGACATCAGTTTTCGGGTTTCAAAATTGTAGGTAGTAGGTTGACCCTGCACTTCATGAGCAACGCCGTCATCAGTTCATGGAGAATTAAGTTCGGCACAATTTAAATCCTCTGAGAAAAAAATTAGTTACGAACATGTACCAAAGTCAGTCAAACAGGCCCATACAGTTAGAGCATAAACATTATTTCCCTGCTCTATTGGTAGTTACTCTCCACCTGTGAACATTTCACCTTTCCACATCCGCGCGGGATCGCTGCATCGAGTTATCGTTCACGTCGTGCGTGGTCCGTGTATATGTTTTATGCGGTGCAGTACGGACAGATTAGGCAGGCGAACTGGGCGGTGAGCTTACATAGTATGAGAACGCTGATCAGAAACATTACTCTAACGTTCCACAGGCTTTAAAGAAAAATGTACGGGGAAATCTATGATGTGTGAAATGTGGCTAATAGATGGGGGTTGGAACGAATAAATACACTAACGGCCATATGGTCCGTCGTTCCTACAATTGTAGGACGCCTTTATGGCCTCCTTGATTTTCATAATCTTTCCTCTTCTTCAGAAAGGCTGGGGTATTTCTAGATTTCTACTATTCCATGTCAGCGTCAGCGCTCTTCTATTTTCATGCTATGTTTTCTTCTTGAATTGTAGGAAATTTCAGGCTATATAACATATGACATAAATCAAAATAGAGCGCTAACACGAAGAGTAGAAAACTATGAAAATCAAGGAGGCCATAAAGGCGTCCTACAATTGTAGAAACGACTGACGCATACGGCCCTTAGATCAAACATTTATCATATACCCTCCCCCACCCCCTACAAGCTCCGGATTTCAACAACAACAAACATTTTTCTGAAAATGATGAGCAATTTTAATTTATTTTTTCATTTTTGGTTTTTTCCTCCGACATCGCTAGACCAGTTTTCAAAAACTACAAAGCGTTTTCGTCTTTGGCACAGTAGCAACTCTGTGCGAAAATGCGATGAAAATCCCTTCTCAAGTATAGGTGGGCCAAGGATCAGCGGACAGACAGACCGACAGGCAATCTGAACGGAAACGAATGACATGGTTTTTCCTCATGTACATATATCATATAACATCCAAAAAACAACTTCTCAATTTCTGAATTTTTCACGATTACAATACTTTCTCGCCCAGTGGCGTAGTAAATAAATATAATAATAATATTTATTCGCCAAAATACAAAAAATCGGCAAATAAATATGAAAAAACCACAGAAGGCATCGCTGTGTGTGGTTTATATCTTAATAACTAACAATCAATCATATATGTGTATAACAATTATTGTTAAATCTAAAAGGTATTAATGTAATTGGAATTTTGTAGTTTTAGTTTTCTATATAATTATGTATAGTCATTCGCTGCACATTACTAACCCAGTCTTTCAATTTTCTTCTAAATGTTTTTCCAAAATTAAGTACCTTTATTTCGTTTGGTACTACATTATATAATTTAGCTGCTAAGAATTTAAATGATTTTTTGAATAATGTTTTATTTGGTCTTTGGATATTAGATGAGCCTATTCGAAATCGTGTGTTATGCTCGTGTTTATAGGATTTTTTCTTTTTATTACAATACTTATGGTATAAGGTGGTGGCATGTAAGAAATAAAGTTGTCTTGTATCAAGTATCCCTGTTTCTTGATATAAGTTGTTCGTTGGATATAATCTTGGCTTATGGAAAATGGCTTTCAAAACACTTTTTTGTGCTATATTCAGGTCAGAAATATGTCTTGCAGGCGGCACCCCAGGCTGTGATGCCGTATATTATATGGGTTTCAACTAAGGCATGGTATAGGATTCGCAGATAACTTTCTGTAAGAATGTTAGCAAGCATTTTGAGTTTATATGCAACATTTCTAATTTTTTTGATAACATATTTAATATGGTTATCCCACCTTTGATGTGAGTCCATAAATATTCCAAGATATTTCAAAGTGTTAACTCTAACGATTTTGGTCTTTTGGCCATGATAATTAACGGAAATTTGTTCGAAGGTAGGGAAAAATTTTGAATAGGATTGTTTTTTTGAAGTTAACTGTTAAAATTTTAGTGCAGCCAAAATTGCATCTGTAGTAGATTTTCCTTTTCTAAATCCATATTGGTCAGAACATATAATTTTGTTTTTGTCCAAAAATTGTAATATCCCTTTTTGTAGTAATTTTTCGAAAATTTTGGCTATATTCGATAGTACTGATATGGGTCTATAATTTGATGTTTCCATTCTGTCACCGCTTTTATAAACAGGAGTAATAACAGTTGTTTTAAACGCATCAGGACAAATTCCAGATTGGAAACACCAATTAATGACGTAAGAAAGTGGTTCGGCTAAGTCGTAGGCTATTATTTTTAAATGGCCAGCTTTGATACCATCTACACCAGGACTTTTTTTGGTTTTAAGTGATAGGACAGCTTCTTGTACTTCAATCGGACTAACGCTTTCTAAAAAGAATGAATTGGGAAGTTGGGTTTTTGGGAACTTTTCGTTCGAAACCTTTTTTTTTAATACTGGATGCTAAATTTTCTCCAACATTAGTGAAAAAATTTAAGAATGCATCGGATATTTGTCGTTTATCTGTTAATATTGTTCCATCACGATTCTTAATTTCATCAATATTTGGCTTCTCTTGAACGCCTTTGTTAGTTAAGTGATCGACAACTGACCACAGTTTTCTTGGATCAGATTTGGCATCTTGTAATTTTTTTAGATAAAATTGGCGTTTTGCTTCTCTAACTAGATTGATAAAAATATTTTTATATTCATTATATTTATGGGAGGTATCTGCACATGGCGATGCTTTCATTATTTTGTATAGTTCCTCTTTTTTGTTGGCAGACTTTATCAAACCTTTAGTTATCCAGGGATTCCTGCTGCTGTCAAAATGTTTAATTTTAACTCTGTACTACATTGAATTAAATATTTTATGCGTTCAATGAGTGTGTTTGCAGCATCATTAACATTTGTTGCACAGTACACTGCTGTCCACGATTCTAATTTGATATTTGCAAGTAGTTTTTTATTATCGACAAAACACCTAAATTTCACTATTTCATTATTGGAGATGGATCTACTTTTATTTTTTTCTGGTGATGATATAAGTATTACAGTGGGTAAATGATCGGTAATATGGTTTTCAACAATTAACGGTATGTACCGAAAGAAATTTGAAATTTTTTTTATGAAACAATGATCAATGCAAGAACTAGAACTATTATTAACTACTCTTGTTGGTAAATTTATATTTGATATGAATCCATTGCTCTGCATTACAGTGAGGTATTTGTTTACTAATTTGGTATGTTGGAGTATATTAATATTCATATCTCCATTATGATGTGGTGTGACTGTATGGCATTTTTGTTATCTAACAAAAATTTTTCAAGATTTTCTACAAATGTATAAGGGTTTGATGATGGTGGTCGATAGACAGATGTGACTTTTACACTTTTGTTATTAATTCTCAATATCAAATCCAACACTGTGATACCGTCATCAAATTTAACAAAATCACATCTGTAGTTGATATCATTTCTTAGATATACTACCACCCCATCATTCTGATTGCACGTACCATTATTGTAGAGCGTATCATAACCTTCCAAACAGAACAAAGATACATCATTAATTTTCCAAGTTTCTGTTAATATTATTATATCAAATTTGTGTTTAATTGTAGTTAGGAAGATATTAAAACAGTCAAAATTTTGGTTTAGGCTTCGTATATTCATGTGATATAAACTAACATTGAAATTAGAATATTCTAACCATTTATTAAGAGCATTTGCGTCTTGAGCAATATTTGTATTGATATTGATTAACCTGGAAATTATTTACGTAACTATCCATGTAAAATTTTGCAAACGATATGTAGCTCGAAAAACGTAAAAAGAACTAAACGCTCAAAACATTATTCTGGATGAATACTGTTTTTGAAAATATAAATACTACAGGCATTTTTTGTCTGTGGGCGAGTGACCAACATCATTATTCTTATTATGCTTAACGTTATAGTTCATACAGTTAGAACATTTTAAAATGTTTACAGTACAAATTTCACTTCTATGTGCTTGTCCACATTTAATGCACATTTCCGCGCCCCTACATTTTTGTCTGTGTGACCAAACTTCAAGCATTTTCTACACTGCGATATCTGGTTATTGTCGTAGACAAATAAGTTTTGCCAACCTAGTAGTATTCTTGGTTTCTTGTTGATAAATATGTCTCTATATAGCTCTCCAGAAACTTCAGCGAATATAGTATAAGAATTTCGGAATGGTAAGTGTCGTACAAAAGTGATTTCGATTTCGTTTTCATTAATGAATGTATTCTGGGATATGATTTCTTCTTTAATTTCTGCTTCTGAAGGTTTTTTTTTCAGTTTTGTAGCCTATGATTTTAATTTTCGGTCTCATTTCTCTTGCTCCTGATATATTGTATTTTCCCTTCAACTTAGTTTCTAGTTCATTTTTGAGTTTCTGGTAATAACATTGCTCAACTTGAATTTCGACGCCGCCGTTTTTATAATTATTTACTTTCTCTATCTTGACTTCAATACTTGCTAGATTAATGTTACTAGTTAGGTCTTTTCTGGTGTCATTATAATGTTGGGTCCTACGGGAGTAACTAATATGGATTTCATGTCATTGTTGTTCTTGTTGTTGCTACTGATTTTAGGAGTATTTTGCTTTAAAATTTGTGAGTATGATATATTCTCTGACGTTCTTTTCTCAAGTTGTTCTAGTTGATCAGTTACAATACCCAAAGTAGATACAACGGATTCCTTCTCTACATGTTGGCAGAAATCAAGTCATATGCTTCCTGTAGTCTACGGTTTTCATTTACCAACTGATATATAGTTCTTTCCTTTTCTTCCAAAAGCTGTTTAAGATAATAATTCTCTTTGACAATAGTTTCTTTGGTACTCTTTTCACTTACGCTAATTTGAATATTTGGTTCAAGAGTTTCGTTTTCGCATTCATTTTTCTTCTTTTTGGTCATATTGCATATGAACACTCCTTATATCAATTTCTCATAAAGTTCACTTTGACAGAATGAATTTGTCAACAATTGTCAATTTGGTATTACGGCCGCAAAATAGTGTTAGATGATGGAAGGATCTCACCAATTAGCTCCACAAATCTGGCCGACCTCAAGAAATATTAGATTACACAGCAGCTAGTTAAAGGTAGATAGCTAGTAGTCTATATTCGCAATAATATATATAATAAAAGGATATATCTTCAAAAATGCGATATTTACTACACGATAGCATGACCATAGTTTGTTTATACTCAAACATAATGAACACTTGAAAATGCCTGATAAGTGGTTACATGAATTTAGGAGATGTGGTTGGTAAACAATCTGCGGTTAAATTAATCTGATAAGAAATACCATGTGAATCATTTCTAGAAAACAATCACAATTTCGATTTGTTTACACAACTTTGATATCTGCGCTCAACCAGATATATAAAAACTGACAAAATGCCTACATTTGGCATATATATGGACATATGCTATGCCAATCCTAAAATCGGATGTAAGAAAAACGTAATAGGTAAAGGAGATTCAAAATAAGAGTGAGTTTGAGAATAATAATATTTGCTTAACATACCTATATGAGATGATCGTTTGTTCAATCTAAATTGAGATGTATTGTGGTCAAAAAAGCCAGTAAATAAAGTGTACTGCCTTTTACCGAAGTACGACAGTACCTAGTCAAATGCCCATATTTTAATTTTTTTATTGTTACACCAACATCACTACATTCACTACTACAATACTGAGAGGTTGAAAACATTTGGATAAATAGACAGATTAACACATTTTTTTTTTGGTGTTGATGTCTCGCATATTAATAAACATAGCAGCAAAACAGACTCCAAAAAAACAGTGTACCTAATAAGGATGGAGGGTTGCTTATTTCACCACAACCTTAGATCATTGATTATGGGAACTTTCTTCTACGACTCCAATTTTGTAAACCTAATTCAATCCATGGCAGCAATTAATCGTAAGTAACATACATTTACAAAGTCTAGATGCTTCAACGTTGTTCCAATGGTGAAATAAAAAATTGATACTTACATGATGTTTACGATAAGCCCAAGGGAGGCAATTATAATCATTGTATTTGCATCAATATCATAGTCTTCATTGTATATCCTATTTATAGCTAGAGTTGAAAATATCGCAGCTAGCAACCACACTGTCAGCACACTGGAAAATATAAAAACAAGTTTTCATATTATGATCTTTTCACATCCCTGTTTTGCGACTTAATAGAACTCAAAGAAAAGCGTGAAAAAGAAATAACAATTTTATAACCATAAGAAAACCAATTCTGGGCTAGTAAAATTATTTCATTATTTTTTACAAATTTTGTCAACGATATATAATTTTAATGAATAAATTTATTGTAATTGTTGATATTTAAAATTTTAATTTTAACGATCTGAAATCAACGACCAATTTTTATATATTTAAAGGTCTTAATGTAGCAATGAGTACTGTGTTCTAAATAAGGTTTACTAGCTGTCTTAAAGCTATAATCGGCAACAAAAATACATCATTACATTCTGACTTGATATTGCACTTTGAACGGTCTTAGGAGCCAACAAAATGCAGTATTTGGCAATAAAATTTGTTTTTCGCATTGTGTTTTCGAAACAAAGCAGTTTCTTAGAAACCACCAAAGGTCATTTTATTTTTTTAGTAGGTTCGATATTTCTGTTGCCAAAAAAGCTTAGCTTTTCCAAAGCAATAAGCAAATTATCATGTTATCTTGTATTTTACCTTAGATGTTTGCCGTATCTTTAATATATATTTTATGTATTCTACCATAAGATTATATAAAGTGCAATAAAGTACATTATTTTTATCTGTGTCTGTACAGAACATCGAAGATGATCTAAGCTATACAAAACATGTTAATTACTTGTATTAAGCCTCATAATGTATGAAGATAACTCTATTCCAGCAGGGGTATGTTATCAAAATCCATGAAGGTCAAAGTATGTGAAGCTTTGATCATGTCTAAACTGGCATACTGTGACGGCATATATGGACCTGCCCTTTTGCAGATATTTTACTCATTCAGCAAATTCAAAATTCTTGCATCAGGTTTGCATGTTATATCCGGAAGTATGTCTACATCAGTGAGAGATTGATGGATTCTGGTTGGCTTACCACCATTAACATAAGAAAACTTTATTTTCCCACATCAGAATACAAGATCGTTAATACTAGTAACGAACACCTACTCATTTATACAATAATTTTCCAAGGCTGCCTGTTAATAAAGCAATTTGCAATGAACATCTTTTAGGTATTCCAATGGCTCTCCTTAAGCGCATTTATTCATCAATCTCTAAGTTTACAATGGCGATGTTCTTGTATATCCCATTCTCTATTGTATATTATTTTTCATTTATTTTGTATGAGTGTTATTTTTTATGGGTTTAGTTAAAAGGCCTTCCATCATTTTTTCATTATTTTGATTTTTTTTCTTAAGTACCTTAAATAATTATTAATGACCATTTATTATTATTAATTGTCTGGAAAATATTCCACAAAAATATACAGGGTCAATAAATATGACCCCCTAATACAATCCTAAACTTAATATCAGAAAATCAATGCATATCAGTGTAAATGCACCCCAGATTCTCTTCTGAGTTCAATAAACTACGTTTATATATAAACCAACCACTCACCAAGTCATTCCCCTGGGTACAGGAGTTTAAAGTAATGCAGAACTGTTCAGTTCAATGATAGTCTCGGCAGGTAATTGACACTTAATCTTAGGTGACAAGTTCACCGACTGTCGAGTATTTTTAAAGTGATAGGATAACAAAAATGTAGACCAGTGACAAAATCATGGTATTATAGTATTCATTAGGATAACAGGATAAGACTGGTTGTATTCATAAAGCCACTCCAGCGATCAATAACACCACTGTCATGATGACTCATTTTCCCTTTCAGGTTAAGCAGTTACTTAAGTAGCTTTAGTAATAATCTTTCTGATGAAGGGAATCCTAGATTCGGCAAATGTTCTCTCTTATTCAATGGTCTTATATAGCTGGCGCACATAGCTCAATATCTGCCCATATCAAGTATCAGTATCCTTTGCAAGCAACTAAGAGTTTGCCATATAGGCACCAGCATATGATTTCGTCATTCATCTAAAATCTAGATCGTATTAGCGAACCTTAACGAGTGCGAAGCAACGTTGTTTTGGGCGAATGGTGAAATTATAAACTCTATGTCAACAAACTTGGACTAAGTAAAAATGTCTTCGGTAATTAAATAGATATTGCCACATAGGGAAAATAACCCAAAAAATAAATCGATCATAAAACTTTCTGGACACAAACCTTAGTAAAGCACCAACAACTTCTGCTCTGTAGTAACCAAACGTCATATTTTTTGACGGAGGCTTTCTCCCAATCCATATTGCTAGTAGTGATATCAGGAATCCTATGAAATCTGAAAACAAATGCGCCGCATCTGTCATTACAGCAAGGCTTCCAGCTATGTATCCACCAAGAAGTTCAGCAATCTGCAAAATCAGATTACCAGAATAAACTCATCAATGCATGGATAATAAAACATGTTGGAATATATAAGACGATTGAATTTATAACCAAGAAACGTATATATTGTCCTAATAACGTGAACTGTGAAATATTGAAACTCAAATTACTTCATTTGTGTTATGCAGATTTTAGAAGCATGATGTCAGGGATTCAAGTAAAAGGCACTTATTCTGCCATTCATTCTTATACAGATCGTATAATTCAAAATTCATACAGCAACATTCTTTGTCAAAAAGATACGCTACCAAAACGCAAATTTAGCTCAAATGTATGTAGGTCATGAAGCGATTACGAGGAATCGGAGAAATTTCGGCAATCTATATTATTTTCTATCATTCAGATGCAAACATTGTATATTTATCCAATAACATAAGCAATTAGTAAATAAACGGCACTAATTATGGAGCGCGATAGTGTGGTCAGTATCAATAATGACACGTCAATTTAGGCCACGCGATTTTGATATTTATTCCAGTACTACAGTTTAAATATTCTGTTACATTTGGACACTCGTTAACAAGACCAAGGCGACCAAATAAAATTTATTTAGATTACCAGATACAAAACGGAAGAAACATCCCGTCGCTACTATATTTTTCTTCTTGCATTTCCAACTTTAAATTAGTTTTACCTTGGCGAATCTCAAGTGTGTGATAAGGCGAAGCTCATTCTTACTAGAGTTATTCAGTTGGTCTACATCATGTAAATTGTTCTTATCGTTATAAATAATAAACTTTCGTGGGTATAAAAGCAGCCTATGCCATTGCCAAAAAATCCATAAATTACATCGGCGCAATGTGTGTGTGTCTATTTTTTTTGTTTTTTGATAGCATATTGTTATATGTTAAAGAATCTGATGGATATATTTCACTAAACATTTAATATCTAAATTAAGCACGGAAGATGCATTTCTTCTGAAATTACGAAAATACTGCTTTATATTGTAATAAGAAGATGGTAAGTCGCACATACTGATAATTCTATAGTGCTACAGTTTATCTTGTGGTTAAAACTGCTTCGAGTGCACCCAAAATTTCTATATCAGGAAAACATGTTATGTATAAACAATAAATAAAGCCTGGAGTAACAAATACGAAACTAAACATGCCTATTATAAAGAAAGGTCTATTTATGAAACATAAAACAATACAAGATCTACAGTCAATAGTCTACTTCTTTCAAAAACATCGAAATTAGATAATTACGCATATGCAACTTATTCGATACCACTGCTATTTGAAGAATGAGTATGTTGATTTACCAAAAACTACACATAATCTTACTTTAGCAGATGCCCCAAGAAAATGTAGATAAGGAGTATTAGGAACGCTATATCGCCTCTATCTAGTTACACGTTTGTCCATGATTCACAATTTTCTATTTTCTGACATTCCTAGTTAAATTTGCGAACATCTGGTTTCACAGGTTTCATATTTGGACTATTAAATGGAACTTACAGACTGAGAAAATCGAGAGTTTGCCATTTGTTAGCCTACGTAGTAAGGTTAAAAATTGATTTACAATAAACCAAGCCTAAGATACTCTTAGACGACTTGGAGGCAAAGGTTTGAATTTAATTTAGGCACTTTGCAACCTCAAAAATGATGTTTAACTGACTTTTTCAATCATCAAATCGATATAACTGGTAAACGGTCAACTAGAGGCCTTTTTTGTTCAGAATGATCCAAATATCCTAAAAAACGACTGCCCGTACCAAAAAATTTAAAACAATACAGCAATCTGGACATTGCACTACTAAGAAGTTTCTCGTTTTCCGCTAACAACGTTGCAGCAACCGATAATCTTCTTGTTCTCAACAGGGATTAGGCTCCTGCCTGTTCTGATTTCACAAAGTTGTTAAGACCATCTTTTCCTTGGTCATCCGAAATCTCTTTTGCCTTTTGGACTACAGCTGATTATTACTTTGGGAAGTCTTTCGTTAGTCACTCTATTAACGTGTTACCTCCACTTTTATCTGCACTCATGTACTTTGTCATTTGCAACCTTTGACTCTTCGTAAAAATCTCATGTCTGATGCCAATATTTTACTTCTCACGCCTACTGGAGGCATTGTAATCGCGAAAATTTTCGAAAATGAGATATGTTTTTTGAATGATATACATGTACATCACGAATAGCCATGTCACTCATTTCTGTCGGTCTGTCCGCTAATCTTATAACCGCCTATCACTCGAGAAGTAACGCTCGGATTTTGATGAAATTTTGAAACATTGTTACTACTACGCTAAGGAAGCAAAAGCTTTATAGTTGTTGAAAATCGGCCCAGTGGCGGCAGAGAAAATGGTCTAAAATGAAAAAACATAAATCGATCTTCAAGTTTTTTGATGTTTCAGAGGTTCCTGGCCATTTTTGAAGAAAAATTAGGGTCAAAAAACTTGAGCTTGGCGGTTGTAAGGGAGTAGGGAGGGTTTAGTCTCAACTTTTGGATGCTGGTACATTTATACCCTCCCAACATTGGTAATTCTACGCACATATTAGATATATTTCAGACATCATAGATTTTTCTGAACTTCAGCCCTAAAAAATATTCTCGGGAGACGGAGCGAGTACCTATCGGTCACGGCTGCTTCTAGCGTCGTGCGCCGGCCGTGATGAGTGTTCTGGTATGGACCTACGCGTATTTCTGCACTACGACGGTGTCACGTCTGACCGAATTAGGTAACCAGTTTTTTGAGTTTCTCAAATCATTCTGAACAAAAAACGCCCTAAGCAAGTTGACCGCTTTCGAGTTATAAGCGCGTGTGAGAGATGCCTTAAAATGGGAATTTTCAATGCTTAAAATTTAGATTTAAAATCATCATTTTGTTCCCAATGGTCTAAACTGTCCCCTAGAATATCCCGAGAGTATTATAGGCTTAGTTTATTTTAAAGCAATTTTTAACCTTCTTTGGTATTCCAATAAGTGTTCCGCTAAATTGATTGTAAAATGATGACAATCTGTTGAATATGAAAAACAAATGATGACAACTCTTACTTACCATGAACAAAAGGCAAAAACCAGCAGCTGTGAGTAATTTTTTCCACGCGCTGCCATCATGGGAAGACGACAATGAGTCATGGCAATGAAAATCTGTGTGGACAGGTTCCCTATAGCAGTCCTGGAAGTAAAGCGACATTCTATAACTACACTTTTGATTAAATAACACGAATTAAAAAGGATTTTTACAAGTGTATTAATCGGTATTCCATTTGTACGGGTATATCGATTGTTACTACATTTTCAAATTAGGCTTCATCAAAAACACAAATTTTTGATGCCATTTACCATAATGCTTTGGGAGTTTGGCGACGCATTGTATGCTGCTCGGTAGAATTTAGAAACTTTTTTAATGAAAATTTCGAACGCGAACGTGTTAAAGCGGGGGCAAAAATAAATTCTAGCGAGTCCGAACAAAACGTGGAAAAAATAAAACACACATAGACTAATGTCTGATACATTCCTTCGTTTGTATTTGAAAATAGATAAAAGATTCATCGCCAGATCAAGCTTTGAGAACACATTATCTTCAAGGTATAAGTTTATAGCTTCTAAAAGCCCCAAAAGAAAAAGCTCGTGTTTAGTTTTTGTTGTGCATATTTTGTATCAGATCAAAAGAGCTGTTTTCTATGCTTCTAATCGGTTGGTTCGGAAGTTTCCACATATAATATATAATTAAGCCATGAATTAGAATATTCTGCATTTTTAGATAAGGGATACATCTCGACAGCAATAATTGTTGCACGTAATACTGTCAAAATATGAGTGCATTTTATAATAAGGCAAATGTTGGATATTTACAAACGAGAAATACAAAAAACTTACAATGATAGTGGCGATACGCGGCATATCTCTGCAGTATGTCACAGTAAATTATTAATAAAATTAAACAACACTCAAGTCATATCATTCAACACATCATTATTGATTGACTTTTCACAGGCATTTTTGATATAAATACTGAATTAAACAAAAAAAGATAAGGCATATCTTGGTAAAACATCCTTATCTGCAACTCTTTCATGTATAAATCAGTTCTTCAAGGAAAAGATGGTACATACCTATATCGTATTGAAACATTTATGTAATAGCACATGCATCATACACGACAATACTATTGTGATTATCAATAACTCACTCAAAAACTTCCAATGTATATTTTCGATAATGAATTAAGTAGACCAAGGTATGAATTTTGATTTATATGGTACAACTAATAATAACTTTTGTGAAGCCATCTACTAAATCAATATCGCATATATGGTATCTACACTATCAATTATTATTCTACAGGGTGCGGCAGAGAGGACGGACGGTTTTAAAAAAATCATAAAATAGTTAATTTTTACTCGAAAACAAATTTATTGATGGAATCACGTTCACAAGGAAATAGCATTTGAGACAGTCAAGTGTGGAAAATCACATCGGGCATGTGGAGGCCGAAATCGTTGATGCAGTGCTGGAAGCGTTCTTGGAAGTTCGCGTAGACTCTTTCCAACATAGCTCTCTCAACTTGGGCGACTTCCACGCGAATTTCGCCCTTCAATTCCTCCAGAGTTCGGGGCTTATTCGCGTATACTGTAGCATTGAGGTGTCCCCATAAGAAAAAATCGCATAGGGATAAATCCGGGGACCGAGGAGGCCAATGAACATCGCCAAACCTGGAAATAAGGCGACCAGGGAAGAGAGGCGAATAACGTCCATGGATGCTCGGGCTGTGTGGGCGGTCGCCCCATCCTGCTGGAACCACACACGTCGGATTGGAACACCTCGCCGTCGTAATTCAGGGAGAAAGAAGTTGGTGATCATGTCGACGTAGCGCTCTGAGTTCACGGTAACATCACGACCATTACCGTCTTCGAAGAAGTAAGGGCCAATGATGCAAGTTTGCGATACAGCGCACCAAACCGTTACTTTTGGGCTGTGCAGCGGTATTTCGTGTAACTGTTGCGGATTTTCATTAGCCCAATAACGACAATTCTGCTGGTTAACCATGCTGTTTAGGTGAAAGTGGGCTTCGTCACTCATAAACAAAATGAGGCTCTCATTTTGATCGATCAGTGCTTCCATCTCACGTGCGACGTTCATTCGTTGTGCATAATCTCCGGGCTGTAACTGTTGTACAATGGCCAATTTGTCGGAATGAAAGCGAAGATCCATATGCAAAATTCGCCTTACCGAACGTCACTAAGGCGAAGTGCAGCAGCATGTTTCCGGGCAGATCGAGTCGGACTGCGAAGAAAGACCTGTCGAACGCGTTCAACATTTTCAGGAGTTCGAACTGTTCGCGGCGCTCCTCTTGGTCTTCTGTTGATCAGTTCACCACGCCTGCGAAGTGATTCAACCCAATGAAGGATGATGTTTCGAGAGGGAACAGCTCTATTCCGATGAATGTTGAAGTGGCGACGAAACTCACGCTGTACGACGATGACTGACTCATTATTTCGGACGAAACAATCATAGGCGAAAACACGGTGCTCCACCGTCCAAGGCTTTTTTTTTTTTTTTTTTTTTTTTTTTTTTTTTTTTTTTTTTTTTAACGAGGGGGGAATGCATTTACGCACCATACCATAGCACGAGCTACGACGTGTGTGGGGCTCCAGGGTCTTGAAGAGATCACCTAATACCCACTAAACCCTAAACCTCCGCGTGGCCCGACTCATCAGCGTCTCGGTAGGCCATGTGTTGTGCGTGACCTGCGGTCTGCTACAACGTCTCCTCATGTGTTTCAGTCTCTGGGAACGCCGGGTTGGTTCCCTTTACCTCGCACATTCTATCGATGTCGTTAAGCGATCATCGATAGAGGGTCTGCTAGTTTCTCTTGAAACTCTTGTTTTCGAAAAATCAAGAGTTTCAAGTCATCTTACCAATATGTTGTTCCTGGTCCTGGTCCTGAAGGGTCCTGGTCCTGGTGGGTCCTGGTCGTGGCGGGTCCTGGTTGGTCCTGGTCCCGGTGGGTCCTGGTCCCGGTGGTTCCTGGTCCTCTGCATCCACGCCGTGGGGGGGGGGGAGCAGCCGCAAATTCTCCTAGTCTCCTAGTCAAGGTTCCAGTTGGCGGGTGCCAACTGGGACCTTGGTCTGGGGTACCTGGTTCTGCGGTTGCGAGGCCTCTCGTCCGGATCGTAGTCCATGAGGAATCGTAGCTGCTCGTTCGGGTGGTCCTGAGCTTTCTCGAAGGTCTTCTCCGCTTTTTTCCTCATGTACTCGTGGATGGTATCCCAATGCAGGTCTCTACGCAAGGTTGAGTTCCTTACGTAGGAAGGTGCATTGGTGGCGATCCGGAGTAGCTTCATCTCTAGAGCAGCAAGTCGCTTGCGGTAGCTGGGGGCAGCGTACCCCCAGACCGCGGAGGCGTAAGCGAGCTGAGGTCTGGCGATGGCCTTGATCAGCCGTAGCTTGGTCGCTAGCGGCATCTGGCTGTGTCTACCCAGTAATGGATAGAGTTGAGCCATGGCTGCTCTGGTTTTTGCGATGACAGCTTCTATGTGCGCTTTCCAGGTGAGGGACTTGTCAAAAACGATCCCCAGATATTTGACATTGTCGCTCCACTGGATATCTTCATCGAAGATGGATGCTTCGAGAGGTCTTGCAATCCTTCTTCGTTGAATGAAGATTGCCTGCGTCTTCTGGACGTTGATGCGGATTTTCCATTTCACGCACCAGTCCTGAATTTGGTCCAGTTCACCCTGTAGTCTCCTACGGATGATCTCGGGTCGTCTATGCTTGGCGGCTATAGCAGTGTCGTCTGCATATAGGGCCAGCATTGTGTCAGCTGTCTTCGGCACATCGTAAGTATAGATGTTGTAGAGCAGGGGGGCTAAGGCTGACCCCTGGGGCACGCCTGCTTCCAGCTGACGTCTTGTTGAGTGGCATGTACCAATCTTCACCGTGAACCATCTTTGTGTTAGATAGCTCTGGATCAGTTGGCACATGTTCGCATCGATTCCGGCGGCTTCCATTTTGGCGATGAGTCCATCGTGCCAAACTCGGTCGAAGGCTCGTTCCACGTCCAGCAGGACGAGACCGGTTGCCTCCTGGAGATTGAAGCCGCTGGTGATGTTTTCCGTCAGTCGTAGCGCTTGGAGTTCCGTGTTGTGGGAGGATCTGAAGCCGAATTGCTCTGGGGGGAGAAGTTGCAGTTCTTCTGTCTGCTTCTCTAGTCGAACGGCGATAGCCTTTTCGACTACTTTGCCCACCGAGGAAACCAGGCTGATGGGCCGGTAGTTCTGGGGCAACTTCCGGTCCTTGCCTGGCTTGGTGAGCATTATAACCTGGGCTTCCCGCCACCGCCGCGGGAAGTGGTTAAGTCTCAGAGTGGCATTGGCGATGTTGGTGAGCGCAGCAATGCCTTTGGTGGGAAGGTTCTTCAGCATCCTATTGTTGATGCCGTCCCTTCCCGGCGCCTTTCTGACCTTCAACCTGCGGATGATCAGACGGATTTCCTCTGGACTGGAGGGGTGATCCGTCTCCTGGCCAGGTGGTCGACTCCTCATGTTTTCGGCTGCGACTTCCACGGCCTCCTCGTGGTTGTCGTCCTCGTCTCCATGGTAATTGAGTCTGCATTCGGATTCTAGCGAATCGGCGAATGCTTCGGCTTTTTCTTCACTGGAGTAGGCCAAGCCGCGTTGGCCGTGAAGAGTGGGGATCGTGGTGCGCTGACGACGAAATTTTCGCTGCATAGACCAGGCCGTACCATCCTGGGTCTCTAGTTCTGCACAGGCTGCATTCCATCTGTTGTTTTGGAGTTCCGCGAGTGCGTTCTTCAGAGCTAACGATGCTCTGTTTCGCGCAACTCTCGACTCCTCTGTCAACAGCTGGAGATGTTCTCGCTTGAGTCTTCTGTTCTCCCTGATCAGGTGCCTAATATGGTGCGGTGCTGGACCATTTAGGTATCTAGGAACTGCCGTAGTCTCGGAGCGGGTGCTGTCCTCGTGCGCTCGCAGGACAGCATTCTCCAGCTCCTCTACTGCGTTGTCCAGTTCCTCCGCTGATCGGATGGTTGGAATTTGAGTGATGTTCCTCTGGACGTTGGATTTGTAAAGGTTCCAGTTCGTCCGTTTGGTGCTCAAGCTATCTCGAGTTCTAGACCCTGTACCAAGTGTTAGTAGAATCGGATTGTGG